ATAAGATTACTTACAAAACCTAACACAGTGAAAGTGCTATGTTAACTACTGTTTTACTACACTATTTAGAAAGAAAAATGACAAAAAAATCTGCCTATGTTCAGTAGAACTGTAACATTTTTCTGAATATTTCTATCTTTGGTCGAATCCACAGATGGAGAACACATGGATAGAAGTCAGTCTGTAAGAGAGAATGGCAGTTACTCAGTTGAAAAGTAATAGCAGTAGGAATGAAATGTTTAGTTATTTCATCTTGTAACTCAGTTATGTCCCAAATTTACTGATCAAGGAGATTATGGGGCCACAGAGGAAAGTGATTGATAATGTAGAGTATGCCTAAGGAGAGTCACATGGAAAGAAAACATTCTCTAAGGCTTTCACAGAGAACAAATTGGTCAAGTAATAGCCATGACTCATGTCCATGGCTGACACTGACAAAGGATCTACAAAGTGTAGTACAGGGTTTTAGGCTAAATCCTGAGGGGATTTGACTGACCTTGTCAGATACAAAAGTTACATTTCTTGTTATATAGGTCTTGCTTTTTATCTTGGTCTTAACTATCCAGCAGAAAAGTATAAAAATGAAGTATAAAAAGTAAAGCCATATTAATATGCTGAGCTGTAAAAGGCTCAAGTCAACAATTTCTGACATTGCCAGTCTTACGGATAACCCATTACTATTGTGGACTACTGGATTATATTGGATTTTGCTTAATTCACGCAATACTATATTTAAATGGCAATTGAATACCCATCTCTGACAAAACTAAACAAGGAAAGGGGATACAAATGAAGGACCATTTTGTATCTGTATATACAAAACGGGATATACATACAGCTACTTTCTCTTAATTCAATAAGAAGGAAGATTTGTACTAATAGTGTTTGGACGGGATATCAGGTCTGCATCTTGTACTATGAATAACCACTACGAAGACAACAATATGCAATGCACTGATTGTTGAAACTGTCCTATTAGTTGCTTTTGAAGCTGTCTCATTACTATTTGTTTCTCAGTAAAATTAATAAAATAAAGATGTTTATTTATTTAATACATTTATGTTAAATAATTAGAAACAGTCTACAAATGTATTTCTAGACTATATGGAAGGAAATATGAAATAATAAAGACAGGTATAACAATCAAGGTTTAGGCTTAGAAAGTTAGATTAAGCAATTAAAAGGGTTATTTTTAAGAAAGGACACTGAAATACTTGTGAAATATGAAGATTCCCTTTAAACTGGGCCTCATTTGAGGTCTAGGCTAGAGCTAAGAAACTAGGGTGCCATCAACTTATAAGTGGTAAATAAAGCTGCTAGTGGGGAAACAGTATCCAGGGAATATACACAGTATAAAAGAAAGCTTAAAATATTTGGGCCTGGAGGATCCCAGCTACTCAGGAGGCTGAGGCAGGAGAATCAGAAGTTTGAGGTCAGCCTGGGCAACTTAGTGAGACCCTATCCCAGTAAAACAAGACAAAACAAAAACCACCAAAGGAATGAGAGATACAGCTCAGTGGATTCAATCTTCAGTTAAAAAAAAAAAAAAAAAAAAAAAAAAAAAAAGGCTTTTGATACAATAGTGAAGCTCACTAAAAGGAAAAAGTAAAGAAAGACACTAGAAAGGAAATCAAACCTCAGTAAGAGAGGATTCAGGATATATGCTACATGCTACTTTTTTTTAAAATCAAGAGAAAAAGCCATCTTAATAAGAGGAAAAGCTAAAACAGTAGAACAACAATATGAAACAAAGGCCAAGCATAAAGATAACTATTCAGTAAACTTATTTATATAAAAATGTCCCTGGTGACTCAGACTACTGACTAGAAACATTTATGTTGGGGAAAGAGATTGAGTTCACTCCAAGGAAAAAATAAACAGCACATTATTCACTCCTTGATCCCTTTATTAAAAATGTTTAGGTACAGCTTTCCCTATTCTAGAGAACTAGCTTAGAATGGTGATTCTTTACCATTTTATGTGTAATAACACTTGTGTAATGGCAAAAAAACCTCAAATGTAAAAATAATTGTACTTTTATCACCAAATTAAAAAAAATAACAAGAAGTTACCATAAAGTTGATAATACCCATAAATTAAAATCACAAATTGGGGGTCGGGGTGGGGAGAAATATCTAAGACATTTGTACAACTAGGATAAATGTTCAGGGCATTTGTTAGTCCTTTATTATAAAGCAAACCCAAGATCAAGAAATGCTATATATAAAATTATCTTTAAATAGCTCTTCCAATTCTGAAAATTATTCAAGTTTCAAAGAAAATTACTGTATAAAAATGGCACATCAGGTTAGGGCCAGTCAAAGAGCTCAGTGAACTAAAGCACCTACTTAGAGTGCAGCAGCTGGGGTTCAATCCCCGGCATGGTGTGCCATGCCGGCCTCACCCATGGGTGTGCTGAGACAGTGGCTGAGACTGGGTGTGATGGCACACACCTGTTATGCCAGCCTTTGGGAGGCTGCAAACAGGAGAATCACTAGGAGTCCAATCTACGTAGTTAGACCATGTAGACTCTATACTAAATACATTTAAAAAAAGGTACATCAGACTTGAATGGACTAAAACAAAACATGATGTAATACTTCAATCTCAGGCACTAACTGTAATTAGATGCTTTCCTTTAATGATATCCCAATACTACCATTAATTAAAAAAGAATAGATTTTATTATATTTGCTTTATAAGTATTTGCTATCCCCAAAAAAAGATAATTGGATAAAGTCTATACTCGTCATGAAAATTCAAATCTAGTAGACAGGAGTCCACACATTTCACTAGTTCATATTAGATTGTGCAAACATAAGCCAACAGATAAAATCCACAGATTTTCCACTGTTCATACTGGACATTACCTGATAATATTTGTCCACTTTTTATTTACTTAAAAATTGCAGTTATAGTTCAAGCAAGAAATAACTATTATGGCATTAGAATTCAGCTAGTTTTCCATTAGTTGAAACAAATGCTTCTCTATGTATAAAACCTAATAAAGTTGCCAATTTAAAGGTACTGCTGAAACACAGAGCAAGTTTTCTAACCGTAGGTTAAAAGAAAAAAAACTTGTGGCGAGTTATTTTTAGTCTAAGAACTAATCACTAAATGTTTAAAAACCAAAAGTAGGCACTTAAATATATATACTAAACAAAGTTATAATTTCGTATTTGTTAAAAATGACGATATTTTACTAAAAAATAATCTTTAGAAAGTTAAGATTTCAGTACAAACCCAAATCCACAAGGTGAACAATGCTATATGCACATGCCTTACTCATTTTTTTTTTTTTTTTTTTGAGAAACTGTGGATTGAACTCAGGCCCTTAGGCTTGCCAGGGAAGGGCTTATTCCACTGAGCCAACTCCCCAGCCCCTACCTTACTCAGTTTTATTTTAGGTTAAAAATCACTTTAAAGCCACTAAAGTCATAAAAAGAATCCACTCTTGAAGCCTGTTAGCACTCTGGCTAATAAAAGCAATTTGCTACATTCTACTAAACACCAACAGTACAGACTTTCTAGGATGCGTTGGAATGGTTGAAACTACAATGAAGTGTTGAAAAGCATTTGGGTGGGGGGAGGTAATCAGGAATCAAACTCAGGATCTGCCAGGTTAAAAAAAAAACAAAAAACGCTTGTGCCCATGAGCTATATCCCCAGCACCAAATATAGCATTTTTATATACACAAACTGTATTTCATACTTCTAATGATTATAGAACTCAGTATCTATGTATTTTTCATTCTATGATTAAATTACAAATGCCATACAATTTGAGTAGTGAGTTTCCTATATATGAGAATGATAAAAGACTTGTGATAACTTTCTTGATAACCACTTTCACTAACAGCACTCAGAATCATCAATTTTTGAGTCCTGAATGAAACAGAAGAGGTCTAATATTTTAATCCTCTTATTCAACAGGGATGGCAGTAAAGCCTGGAGATAAAATCATGTTCCCAAAATACTAATGCTGGATAGCTTAATATAAAGTGACACCCCTCTAGTTTTCATGGGTATTTCTGATTAAAAATAGGCCATGTTTTACTTTCCAACAGGAAAGTAATATTACTTCATAACAAGCAAGCAAAATGCTGTACACACTGTAGGCATTAATGTCTATAGCTGAACTGCAAAAACGTGTGGAATTGAATTGTTTATCTTTCATATGTAATTAATACTATTTACACGTGTATGCAACTGGGAATCACTTTAAGTTTCTTAGAACTTTTTTCCTATACTAGCACTCTACAATTACAGATTCAATAAAATAATCCACCTCATTCAATCCCAGTAGTGTGGTGTTAAACAGCCAAGACAATTATTTGCACACCAGTCCGATACCAAAAGGATTCAACAGTGCAACAAATCATGTAAAGCAGTACATCAGAGACTACAATGCTCGTCTAACATCAGACAACTCTGATCACCCACTTTACCAGGTGAAATGGAAAAATCTGAGATAATTTTAGCCAAAAATTTTAAGAATTCACTCCCAGATTTAAAAAAAAAAAGCTATCACCATTTTACTCAGAACGTTTTCAGGGGGTGGAGGTATAAGAAAAACTACCTAACAAATTATTTTGCTTTTACACTTAGTTGTCCATATTTCTCCCCCATACTTCAAAAGGGAGCTGTTTTGGAAATCACAAAAATAATTCGTATCACTGTATCAAACGTTACTAGAACTCGCCTTTCTTCGCTTGCTAATCAAATGATCCCTACCTTTGCAAACGTTCCCGTACTTGTAACTTTATATATAAATGCTGTGTCACTGAAAAGAGAAACAAACTGTCTAGCAATGCTGCTAACTTGTTCCCTCCGGCCGCTCCATCCCTACTGCGGCACGCAGAGACAGAGCTTAGTCTTCTTAACCTCCTGCGCTTGCACTGGGCAGTTGTAGACCGATGGGAAGACCCTCAGCGGCACAACCGCCAAGGAAAAGCTGCACCCTCTAGGGTTCACCTCGGAGGCCCAGGGCCACTTCTCACCATCTCTAGGTGGGCGCCGGAGCCTTCAGGATGTCCGCTGCCCAGGGCTGGACTGGCCCTGCCCTCCGGGGTCTTCCGCTCGCTGTTGCGCTTCAGACCGCCGGCATCGCCCCGGCCTCCGGCCTCCCGGCGCCGCCGCTGCCGGCTCCACAGGTACACGGCTCCCGCGCCCAGCAAGAGGGGCGCCCCGACGGCCAGCGCCAGCTGCCATCGCGGGAGGCCCCCAGTCCCCGGGCCCGCAGTCCCGCCGCCCCCGCCCACTCCACTCCCGGAGCCCGGCGCAGCCGCTGCGACCACAGCCGCCTCCACTGGCTTAGAGGCGGCCATGACGAACGTCCTCTGCTACCGCCTCTTCACCAGTTTCTGGCGCCACAGTCAGCAGGCAGCGTGCGAAAACACCCAGGAGAGAAGGAAGGAAAGCAAGCAAGAAGGGGTGCAGCACGTTAGGCAAAGGGAGAGGACTGCAGGAAAAGGCCAGAGGTCACCGGAAACCCAGGGCATGCCGGGACCGATCGGGACGTCAGGCTCCGCCCCTCCAACTGTGGGGCGAGTCACTTCCGGGTTAAGGGGGCTGGCGACCGTGGGGTTTGCGGTCACCCCTTTCCTCTTGGTTGTCCCACGCGGCTGTTTGTGATAGTCCCTTGTGGGTTCTCGGGCCTCCCGAGGTACCCGCTGTCCTATGCCTTTTAGGATGGAAGGACCGATGGCTCTCTTGCCTAGCGGGGCGGAGGACGGGCGCGTATGCGGCGTGTTTGGGGTGCGCAGTGAATCAGAGCAGAGAGAAAAGGGTCGCGGAGAGCGGCGGGGGAACTGTTTGGGCGGGGATGCTGGGCCGGGTGTGGGTGGATTGGAGACCACATTTTCCAGTTATTGCCACGTTGTTCGTCTTGGACGTCGGTGCCCTTTACCTTTCTTGTGTGTCAGAGAAATAACTGAAAATGACTGCTGTATCAATTAGCTTCCTGGCCCATAGCCAGATTTTACTTTGGACAAATCTGAGGTTAGGAGGGCAGTAGGAGAGGGCAGAACAACTCCGTGGAGGCGGGCGAAGCCGGATACGTGCAGCTCTCCCTCTGTCCAGTTTTTAAAGTGTCAGTGTCGTTAGGAGGTTCTGGGACGTAGTGGTCTAAACTAGGAAGCTTCAGCGTTCCAGCGTAATTTGTATGTAGAGCTGGATTCCACCTGACACTGCAGTCTACTCCCGCCGTCATAACTCTTACCCCAACATTCTCATTCTCCCCCCATGTTTGTTTAGTAGAATTAGTCTTCAGCTGACTTCCCTCCTATCTGGAACTATATAATTTCAGTTTATAAGTTTTATATATCTTTTTTTTAAAACTTTATGTGTGTGTGTGTGTGTGTGTGTGTGGCCAGCTTAGCCCACCAGGGGGCGGGGCTGGCTGGCATGTGGTGGTGGGGGATTGAACCGCGGTCCCTGTGCTTTGCTAAGCTTGTTCTAAGTAGGTGCTTTAGACCACTGAGCCATCTCACCAGCCAAGTTTTATATTTCTAATAGCTTGTCAAGTGTTTCCCCATGCTCTGTACCAGATCGCTTACAATACAAAAATTACCCTTGCAAAGTATTTGGAATTCACAGTATGGTCAATAAAAGACAGGTATGGACAAGGACAAGAATAGAATACTGAGCCATGGCTCCTTATTTCACATATATTCGTTTGTAGACTCATTAAAAATTTATAAAGGATTGTTTTGCTTTTACATTGGCGACCATAATCACAGTTAACTGCGTGGATACGGAATGGAGATAATTTGGATGGACTAATTAGAGGGCCAGGGAGATGGCTCAGTAGAGTAAGTGCTTCCCTGGCAAACGCAAGGGCTTGAATTCAATCTCCGGTTCCTACAAAATAAAATAAAATAAATAATAAAAATTAAAGTAGAATGGACTTACTTGAACAACTTTCACGATGATTTGCTTTATGCATACTCCTACTAGTAAATTCTTTTCAGGCAGTAGAGTTTCTTAGCAACAAACAAAAAATGGATAGAAGCAGTGGAATTGAACTAATGAAATAATGATTGTTGCAGCCAATCACTTTATGCCTTAAACCCTAAAAGTTATGTCTCCTGCCCCTTATGATCTTGGCTTTCCCTTTTCAAAGTAGAAAATTGGGCTTTTTCTTTCCTCAAATTTCATTTTATCTGGTGCATTATGGAAGACTATGGGTTAGTAATTTTAAACTACTGGTAGAAGCTAAAATACTTGAAAATTAAAACAAATGTTTCGCTCATTTATTGGAATAGGCAATAAATTTTTGTAGTTCAAATCCAAAAGTTAGAAAAGATTTTCTGTGAAATGTTTCCATCCAATATCTTTCTCCAGTTACATAGTTCCTCTCTCTAATGGCAATGAGTATCAGTTTCTCAAAACACTTGTTACATTAACTAATATTTATCTAAAGGGTTAATTTGGTTTGGTTTTTAGGATTGACATTTATAAATTAAGTCCATATATATATATATATATATATATATATATATAATCTCATCCTATTCCCTAACTTGCTCAATTTTTTCTCCTGTCTTCCTTTTCATTTCCCAATTTATTGTATTGTAGCACTGAAATAAGAAAACCACTTCCGGATTTTATGATTTACTGACCTGACTCATACTTTTCTAAGTTGTGAAAACACACCTTTCACTTTAAAGATTTAATTAAATAATACTCAAAGTTCTTTTTTGTTTGTTACAAAATAATAGGTAATGTTTTTAATTTTTCTAAATATTAAAGGAGAAAACTGTTTCTAAAAATGGAGTTTTTTTGTATGTGAATATTTTCTTTTTTTATGTATTTATTACAGGGTCTCACTACACAGATCAGACTCATAGTGATCCTCCTGTTTTCAGCCTCCCAAGCACAGGGTTTACAGGCATGCCACCACTCCCAGTTCTCCATCTCAGTGTGCCCTTGGGGGTGGGCTGGCATGGCACAGCTCGATGGGGATCAAACAACTGAATATTTTCTTGATAGTTAATGAAAATTAAAAGCTTGCTGTGTCTCTTGTTCGATGTGTGTTTTAGAAGGCAGTTCAATAAGCAGAAAGTCTTTGGGCTGAGATTAGGTGAAATATCTTTTTTTTCCAAGTTATTTATTTATTTGACCAGCTTAGCCCACCCTGGGGATGGGGCTGGCATGGCATGTGGTGCTGGGAATCGAACCTCTGTTTTTGTGTGCTTGCCTGAGCTTGCCTAAGCAGGCGATTTAGACCACTGAGCTATCTCACTGGCCCTGGGCTGAGATTAGGAAGACTTGAGTTCTTATTCTAGATTTTAATCACTGAGGTGTCTGTCACTGACTATTTTCTGTATAAGTAATGTGATAAGTAGTTTAGATGATTTCTGAGGTTGCTTAGGACTTTTAAACTGTGTGACACTATCTCTTCAATCCTGATTGCTGCATGAGGCTTTCAGATTGATAAAGTTTGTTTCCTTGGTGGTGTCTAGACATTCCAGTGAGTCCACAAACATTCTCTTATTAAGAACATACATACACAGCTCTAGTTCAATTCTGTTTTTAAGTTTCCACTCTGTTTTTAATTGAAAAGTTACTGGAAAGAGTTATCTCCACCTGTTACTTCTACTAATGTGTTGCCCATTTACATCCATAATCTATTGTAACCTATTATAAGTGGTCTGAAATTTCCTTGGAAGGCACTAAATTCACTGTTGTTTTGGTCTTCCATACACTTTTATGTGATGCTATTTTCCTAAAAATTTTTCCTGGTCTTCAGGAGATTAGGTTCTCTTGATTCAGCTGCTGTCTAACAAGTCTGTAGATTGGTGCTTCCCAATAGGACTCCTTGTGCTGTTAGAAGTATCTTATATGTACAACGTCCGGTCCTTAGCATGATGTAGTCACTGCTCCCACCTCTACAACTGCATTTGCTTTTAATGGATCTCACATTTGTATCTACTTTGTATCTCACATTTTTGCTCTTATATTGAAGCTCTGTTATTCTCTGAGCCCTCATGCTGTTAATTTTTCCTCCAATCCTGATGGTTTCTTATTCAGCTTCCCTCAAAGCATCAGTTGAGTGGGTGGTACTGCTCTGCTCCTCAGAGGGAATGTCATGTCATGATTCAATCAAATGGCTGTTCTTTTAGCTGTCAGAAGAAGCCTCTGCATTTATCTTCAGGGAACAATATATAGTAATGCTTAGTTCTCTTTTTTTCAGTGTGACTGATAGCTCATACATATATTTTATGCACCTTTCTGCCCACTCAAAGATCTGTAAGCTTTTCCATTCTCATCAACTTGCTACCCACAAGACTGTGTCATTTTAAAATGTGGAAATGTCACCTTGAATTTTAATTCGAAAAGGTGTTACATACATAAAGATATGCTCTTGTGCTCTGCCCAAGAATAATGGGAAAAGTGGGGATTGAGATCTAACCTGCACTTTGCTCATAACAGTCTAATGGAATATGCCTAGAATACAGGGTGCTCCTTTCTCTTCTTTGCGTAAAGTTGCTTGCTATTTGATCACTGTGTGATGGGCCTATCATCTGTCCAAAACAGACACCATTTCGTGTCTCATAACAGCCTGCTTATCCTGGTTATGCAGTCCTGATCTGTGTCTAGGTTTGACCATGAGAACTTCTAGGATTTGCTTTTCTATCTTTGCTTTATTTTTATTTTATGGGAAAAGATGAAACAAAATTTCGTAACAAGTTGATAGGAGATACACTGCATGTTATTATTATCTTTGAAGTAGTTACTCAGTACAAAATATGGGCATAAAATGTCTCCAATTGATATGTGCGCCAACCTTCCTTTTCTATGAACAAAGAGACACTATTAGTATAACTAATATGCATTTTTTCTCTTCCTTTCCCCCTTCTCCCATCCTAGTTCATCTTTCCTTTTGAACAATTTCTTCCTATTTGACAACATCTATTATACATATTGGACCTTATTTACTCTTTCAGTTTCTCACACTAGGAAAGCAATATGATTACACATGTGGGTCTGATTTATTTCACTAAGGAGTAAAATAGACTCCTTAGTTTATTTGGAACTTATTTATTGCAATTTGGTCTCAAGTTGCATCCATTTACTTATAAAAGTCTCAGGTTTATCCTTTTTTTGTGGCTGAGCAGTAGTACTCCATTGTATGAAAAGATCACATCTTTTTTATCCATACCTTGGTTAATGGGCATTTGGGCTGTTTCCAGGATTTAGCTATTGCAAATTTTGCTGCTGTAAACATTGCTGCACATATTTTGCTGTGGTATAATATTTTAATTCTTCTTGGAAGATGCCCAGAAGGGGAGTAGCTATGTTGAATAAGAACTCTAATCTTAGCTTTTTGAGCACTCTGCACTGATGTCTGCAGTGGTTATACCAGGTTGCATTCTTACCAACAGTGAAGAAGGATTCCTTTTTCCCTACAGCCCCATCAGTATTTCTTATTGATTTTTTTAATGATAGCCATTCTTTCTGGGGTAAGATGGAATCTAGGATTTTTTTTTCTTTGTACGA